AAATAAATAAAATAAATAAAATAAATAAAATAAATAAAATAAATAAAATAAATAAAATAAATAAAATATTTTATATAACTAGTCTAGTAGTTAGTAGGGATAGAATTTAAACCTATAATTGGTAAAGATAGTTTTATATTATATTTTAAGATATACTAGATATATATTCTAGATACTTCTTACTATATTATTAATAAAAGAACTAAGATATAAAGCTAATAGCTTTACACTGTGCATGCTATATAAGAGTATTCAAGAACAGGATTCAAGCAGGATTCAGGCAACTATACAGGTTCAGGCAGGCAGACACCGTGACATTTTGAAGAAGATTATTCTTTTAGTAAAATTTTATTTAAATATTATTAATTCTCCCCTGAATCTGATAAGGAAAAAAAATTAAATTTAAAAGTATTTTTTTATTTTATATTAATTTTCAATTTTTTAAAATATTAGAAATAAATTATTAATTTAAAATATATATTCTGTCACGGTGCAACCCCCCAAGCCGGAAAGAGAGAAATACTGCCGAGTTTTACCGCCCAGCACATGACCCCCCAGACATGGCTAAAAGCCACCTATCCCCTGAACCCCGTTCGTAGCCTCGAGCTATGTCTTGTCTATCAACCTGTATATAGCTTGACCAGTAGCCAGCTCAGCACCCAGTTAGAATCCTAGTTATTGTTATTATCCGAATCCTGCCTGCCTGCCAGAACCTGCTATCCTACCACCCTGCCTGCCCGCACCTTGACATATTCTGGGGGGTTCCTACAAAATATTTTATTAAATTATTATCGAATTTAAGTTATTATATTTAGGAATATGTTCCACATCTACCCAAGAAATAAGATAAAAGAATATTTATTATTATTTATTATTATAAACTATAAAATAATAAAAAAATATAAATAAAATAATAATTAGTTTAATAATTATGTCAAGGTGCAGGCAGGCAGGGGTGGTAGGATAGTGGGTTCTAGTGGGCAAGTAGAGTTCAAGTAATAATAATAACTAGGATTCTAATTAGTAAAAAGGGCTAGGCCCTGTCAGCCATCCGGAATCGGAACATCTATATTCCAACCCATCTGGTCCTGGATCTTAATCCGATAACACCCATAGAAAGAATAGAAATCTCTAGAGAAAATAAGAATCTCTAAAACAGTAAAGAAACTTACTAATATTATAAAAGAACCTTCCAGAAAGAGTTATCTATAAGTAAATCTAACTTATCTATAAATTAAATAGTTCTTTCTCTAGTGAATTTAATTTTTTTATAGACTATTATATTTTATATAATTTATTTAGTTTCTTAATCTATTACAGTTTTAAATTTATTCCTTCTTTAAAGTATTTATTAGATAATAGATTAATAATATATAATAACTATAATAAACTAATAAATATTTTTAATTATTATAGAGGCGCTATCCAAGCTGACATTATTAACTAGTTAATTAAATATATTAAAAAACTAATAATCTAGAGCATAGAAATATAATATATTATTATTTAATAAAATATAGTAATAAATAATAAGATTAAGACTAGTCTTAGATAGATTAAACAGATTATTAATATCTAATTCTTATCTTTTTAAGTATCTACTATAGTATTTTTATTTATATTAATATTAGTACCGGTACCAGCCCAGAATTTAACTAATATAAAAAAACTAAAGCTATTAATCTTTATAAGTTTTAATGGAAAAAATAAGAATAAATTTTTAAATTAGTTTAATAATATATAAATAAAAATTAAAATTAATTAATAATTCATTAGCACGCCGGTTAAATAAATTTAGTATATATTTATATTTCTAGATAGAAAAACTAAAATAAAAATTAATTTATAGATAAAAGTTAATTATAAAACTTTAATCTTCTTAGCTATAATTTTAATTAATTATTTTAAACTAATTTATAAAACTTAGTCTAATAGAAAAAAACTATTAGCAAGCTATCTACCTTTAAATAAAAAAAATTAAATAGTTAATAATCTTCTAGTAGAAGTTAATAATCTACTAATTAAAATTAGAGAATATAATTAAAAAAATTTAAATAAAAAGAATCTTTTATATTAAGTCCTGAATGATAATATCTACTAATAAATAGTTAGTATTAAATAGAAACTAGACTTTAAAGACTTCTATTAATAAGTTAAATAAATAGCTAACAAGCTTATAGAGATAAACTAACTTTTAAGAAAATAATTAGAATATTTTAATATTTAAATAAGTAATATTTTTAAAAAAATAATTATAAATAATATTATAAATTAGGAATTTATAATAGCAAGTACAAGACTTATTTAATAAATTTAATAAATATTAAAAAAAATATTAATTAAATACTATAAGACAGAATTTTATATATATTATAAGTTCTTAAAATATTATATTACTAGATATCTATATTTATTATTATAATATTTTTAAGACTTAAAAAGCACTCCAAAGAGTAAAATTTATTAAGTTTTATTTAAAAATAATCTAACTAATAAGACTAATTAAATCTTAAAAAATCTAGTTATCTAGCAGCCTCTAGTCCTGGTAAAAATATAATTTTTCTAGATTATTATTTAAAAAAGTATATACTAGTTAACTAAAGTTATAAAAAATTTGAAAAAAAAATTTAAGAATTTAAAAGCTATCATATCTTCTTTATATTAAAATTAATTAATAAAATTTATTTTGTAAATACCTTGATTAATACTAGCTATATATTATATAAAATAATTAATTAAAATTTTATAAATAAAAATAAACTAGAGTATGTCCCTATTAAACCCCAGAATATTAAAAAATTTAAAAAAAAAAGATTTATATAATTAAATTAGCAAAGATATTACTAGACATAGATAAAAATTTATAAAAATATATATATCTTTATATCCTGTCATGTATATATAAATATAATATTATATTAAAATTTCTATAGATGAAATATTAGAATATAATACTTTAAGTTAAAGATTTTATACTCTATATTTAAAATACAGGGGTGAAGATATAATATAAATAAAAATAAAATTATTTTTTAATATTATATATAATCTCCACTAACACATGGTGTACTTGGAAAAATTAAAAAAAAAATTTAATAAAATTATTTATAATAAGTCTAGTAGATATTAATAAAATTTTTTATAAGTTTAACTAGTTAAAAAATTCCATGGAAGTAAAAAATAAGCTATTAAAATTTTATTATAAATATTTAAATATTTTTAATAAAATAATAATAGATATCTTACCACTCCATCACCTAGAGATGGACTATATTATAAAAATAATTAAAAATATTAAAAAAAAGAGGAAGTCTCCTAGGACTTTCTCTATTAAATAAACTAATTAAAACTTTTAATATTATAAAAGATTCTAATTAATCTTCTAGAAAAAAAATTTATATAGATTAATAATTTTTTAGTAGCCGCTTTTATATTATTTATTTTAAAATTTAGTAATAATTTATATTTCTACATAGATTACTAAATATTAAATTAAATAATAATAAAAAATTAATATCTTCTATTACTTATTTAAGAAATCTTTTAATATATTTTAAAGATTTAATACTATATTAAATTAGATATTATTTAAGCCTTCCACTATATTTAAATTAAAGAAAAAAATAAATAGAAAATTACGTTTTATACTTATTTTAAATTATTTAAATAATTAATAATTTTTTTTAGGTT